ATATGGTCCGGTGGCCCTCTTCAGCCCAAGTTAAAAACTGTTGTTTTTTGAGAGACCCTCAAGGTGGCGGACGCGGCCCACAACTGGGCCGCAGCCCATGGGTTAAGAATCTCTGGTTTGGATTATAGCTAGCCTTTTGCTGCTTTTAGTTAGTTTTTTTTTAACTGTGATCATTTTTCTGGGTTTAGACTTTTTAGCTTTTAGCTTTTGGTTAGCCTTGCTACTTGTAGCTAGCCATGTTTCTTTGAGCTTTTAGCTAGTATTTGATTATTGAACTTTTAGACAGCCTTTAGCTAATTTTAGCTTCTAGCTAATCTTTTGCTACTTTTAGCTAGCCTAGGTGTTTAGAGAAGTTTAAATGATGCAGAACACTAGCTGATTTAGTCTAGCAGAAAGCTAGTACAAAAATATAAAATGCCTTTTTTTAGGCTGATTTATAAGACAAAAATCAACTAACACACTAATTAAAGTACTTTATTACACGTTGCGCTGGACAATTGCTTGCTCAAGCACAGCGGCCTCCTTGCAAAGTTGTTTAAAAAGAGTTTCTTTTGCTCTCGGTAGAAGCCCCACTGGCTTTTATCTGCAATAAGAACAGTTTGACRCAGCATTCAGGCTCCTGTCAAACGACCCAGCTGAAGTCCCAGTGTTTTTTTATGGCCCCAGCTCTGATGAGCAGTGATGCAAACATAACACTTGTGCGAGCTGATTTTTGCTGAGTCTAACATGTTTGGGACATCTCGCTGTCTTTAAACACTCATTTATACACCGTAGTGTTTCACATGGGGACAYGAACCTGAAGGCACAGAGACTGACAGCACCAACCCAGAGATAAAAAAAAATAATAGAGAGATACAGTGGATCAATTTTTCTTGTCTGCTCAGCAGCTGCCTGCTCACTCCTGTAGGGCTGATTCCTTCACTTCAGTCAAAAAATAATGAACACTTTTTCTTCTCTGTAAATTGTTAGCAAACAAACAGCAGCCTGTAGGAGATGTTTTTCTTAATACTAGGGTATAATTTAAAGGGTTCTCCCATTAGTTGTAACATAGACAGTGTCTGAAAAAACATTTACATTTACTACTACATTTACAAAAAAGATTATTGTTCCTACCTTAGTCCTTCCATCTTGTCATCCTCCCAGGTAGACCCAGCTGTTTTAGTCCAATCACTGTTCTGCAGGCAGGTTTTATGTGTGCCATTATTCAACAAATGATGCACTGCTATCACAACATTATTTACATCAGAAACCAATCATACATTTTCACTGAAAAAGGAGCAAAAAATAAAAAATGGCAGCTTTTTCCTAATCAAGATGTTTTCATTTGTCTCCCAGCTGGTGGCCACAAGAATTTAATTTTACTTACTTGTTCCAGTCCAGAGATCCAGGTTTTTTTATAGAACAGATGAACGCATGATTCATTTAATCACTTGTCAAATATTTTTGGAGCGTCTCCTTCAATTTCCCAACACTTTTCAGTGACAGATTTTCAGATTGTTAAGGTAACAAACCATCTGCTGAGGCAGAATGTGCGTTTGGTTAGAGAAAACAGAAGTCAACGAAAAGTAAAAAAAATACACAAGAAAAGACAAGAAAATAAGAGGAACTGTGTTTGATCATGACCCAAGTTTCTGCAGTGTAAACTTAAACCTGTTTCTGTATTTAAGGGATGTCATCATCATCTTTTAAAACATAGTTTATATATATG